AGTGTTTTTGCTGTAAAGGTTACGTGTAAAAATGTGGTCTCACGGGTCTCACGAAAACAGGCTGGTCTCACGTGAACCCAACCCTATATATATATATATATATATATATATACATATATATATATATACACACACACATATGTTAGTTTTATGATGGAGAGATTTTCATTTTGTCAAGAATGTATTTTTTTGGATGCAGTTTCTTAAGAGGTGACCAATATGCGATAGCATTAGGTCTGCTAGACGAAGGGAAAGTCGTGTTAGGTGTCCTCGCATGCCCAAATCTCCCACTAGAATCCATTGGGAGCCTTAAAGATCAACATGCTCTCGGTAAAGCAGGATGTTTGTTCTCTGCACAACTCTCTTGTGGAACATACATGGAGTCTCTAGATGGCTCGCCACCCGTCAAGGTACAAAACTTAATGCCTCATCTTACGTAGCTAATCTTGTTCCAAGATGGTGTAAAATTTGGTGTAAACAATAATTCTTCACCAACCCGTTACACCATTTTCAAACACCGAATTGAATATTCCAAGTATATTTCATTTTCCTAAATTATATAGATTTTCAATCATGGCCTTATATTTATTAGTTGCTTACAAATTCGACCCATAATTTTTTTTTGGTACAATAACTTTATAAATATGTTACTGTCTTAAATTTTTAACAGTAAGTAAGTTTGAAGCATACAAAATGAAATTTATTATACATCGTAAGTCAATATATATATATATATATATTTTGTAATTTGTAATATAATATCAACAAATATTATAACTAAAAACCATTTACAATCAAATGAACTAAAATTACATAAATATGAAACTTGAAGTACCATTTTGTAATAAAAATAGTTTAACACAAAATTGATGTAAATGAATAATATAACACGAAATGTGGTGTAATACTATTCACCAACACCAAAATGGTGTAAGAATTGTGTTGGGTTGTAATGGAATGATGTTGAAAATGCGATTTGGTGTTGAGTTTGAGAAGCTCTTAGAATAATTTAGTGGTGTTGAGTTGGAGAAGCTCTTAGAATAATTTAGTGGTGAGGTTTCCTGGCAGACTTTTCGCAGAAACAACTGCTTTACTCTTTGGGGTAGAGGTCAAGTTTGCGTACCTCTGGATGGGATATGCGGGCTTGTTTGGTTGGGGTAAGGTTTAAGAATATATGTATAATGGCGGCAACATCAGTTTTTTTTGCTTGTCCCTCAGGTGCATGTTAGCGACACGGAAAATCCAGAAGACGCATCCTTCTTCGAATCATATGAAGCTGCACATTCATCTCATAGTTTATCTGGTGCTATAGCGAAGGTACCTTTGCTAGTTTATATGAAAATGGGGAAATCATGAGTAAAAATATATTTGGTTACATTCTCACATTTTTTGCCCACTGGCTCTATTTTTGGGCCAAAAACGCTAGAGAATTGACCGGTGTGTCCTCAAGATTAAGAAATGTTGGTGCTCATCAACCACAAGGGTGGTGCCTGATTGGTTTGAGCTTGGCTCCAAAGGTCAAAAGTACCAGGAGGTCATATCCAAGGAGGAATAAAAATCCCCTTATGGCCACGGAGGTTCAAATACGATGACTCCGGGCTATCTGCAAAGCAGGTGGTCGCCCTGGGATTAGTCGGCTCGCATAGCGAGTTGGATATCCAGGTTAATCAAAAAAAAATGTTGGTGCTCATCAAGGGCAAATATGTCAACTTTTCTGCCGGTAAGTAGACCGATAGGAAAAAAGAATGATCAGGACATGAGATACATTAGGCAAATAATATTATTATGGTTCGAGAGACAATAACAGTATCTACTCGGACAGTACAGTGGCAGTGTGTTGAATCAGCAGTAGTCAGTAAGTGTCTTTTTTATGGGCGCTTTATTCTGGCTCCGCTTAGAAAAGGTCAAGCAGTCCACAATGAAAAAGGCACTTAGTTTTAAAAATATGTACTTATTACACTTTTTAATTAACTAAATGACAATTTCACTCTTATTAATAATGGAGGAAACAATAAATTTCTCCATCTCATAATTAAGGGCAGCACTTATCTTGGGACAAACTAAAATAGAAATGTGGACACTTATTTTGGAACAGAGGGAGTAAATAACTTTTAAAGTACATTGGCCAACTTATTTTACTCTCAAACTAACATTTACTTGCTGCTGTGAAAAGGCATGAAACTGGTACCCGAGGTTGATGAAGTGATGTTTGCTTTCTTCTTTTTCTAGAAACTGGGCGTTAAAGCACCGCCAGTTAGAATAGACAGCCAGGCAAAATACGGTGCATTGTCAAGAGGAGATGGTGCAATATATTTACGATTCCCAAATAAAGGATACCGTGAGAAGATATGGGACCATGCTGCCGGATATATCGTTATTGCAGGTACATTTCACTTCTCTTTCAAATGTTGCTTTAACCACTAGAGGTTTGTATGACCGTTTAAATTCAGGATTAGTCAAGGTGTGTGCAAGATGGCTGGCCGGACACAGACTTATTAGAAAAAGGCTTACTTTAAAAACTTACCTTTCCATAAACATTTGCCCTTAATGACTATAACATCATTTTAAGAAAGGCAAACGAGTCAAATCATTTTAGTATTTGTTTAGTAGGTAATTTCTAGTGGGTAAAACTTGTTTTAGTATTTTTTTTCCTAGAAAAGAATGACTGTTCAGGTTGCCAAGCGGTTAAGAAGGTTGTAGTAAACCACAAGGGTGGTGCCTAATTGGTTTGAGCTTGGCTCCAAAGATCAACAGTATCAGGAGGTCGCAGGTTCAAATCCAAGGAGGAATAAAAATCCCCTTGTGGCCACGGAGGTTCAAATGCGGTGACTCCGGGCTATTTGCAAAGCAGGTGGTCGCCCTGGGATTAGTCAGCTCGCATAGCGGGTTGGATATCCAGGTTAATCAAAAAAAATAAGAAGGTTGTAGTATGAGTGAGGGTATAGCGCAAACCCTTTTTCTACAACATTTGCCCTCTGATCCCATTTTCTGGCCGAACACCGAAAGCCATTAATAGGTTTATTTAGGAGAATACAGATTTAAGAACTCCTCAGCCTAACAGAAGAATGCCTCCAAAGACCTGTCAGAAGGTTCTTCTCCTAAATAACGCGAGTAAACTAGTGAAATCATGTTTTCGTTTTTGAGCTAACATTAAATTGTTTTGAATTACAGAAGCCGGGGGTGTTGCATCGGATGCTGGTGGGAAGCCTTTAGACTTTTCGAAAGGAAGATATCTCGATCTCGACACGGGCATCATTGTTACGAATCAGAAACTAATGCCAGCTCTCTTGAAGGCAGTTCAAGATTCACTCAAGGAACAAGCTTTACCATCACTCTAAATCTTGACAAAATTTCTTGTTAAATTGTGGACAAAGTTGTGCTAATTCTACTGATGTGCATGAATAGTTGCTGAATCATCTTCTTGTATTTCATCATCCTCAAATCATGTTCGTGAAAATTTTTAAATTCTTAATATAAACTTTGTACCCTTCAGGATTACAGTTGTTGGAGTTCTACATCAGCTATACGTCAAACTTATTTTTATATATATAGGGCTTAATGAAATGAGAACTCTAGAATTTGTGAGATATGTGACATGCATTGTGAACCACTAATTTGAAATATTTATATTATTTAAAAAATAAATAAAAAGGTAATTTAGGGGCCGTTTACCTAAATGATTACCGTGTAAGCGTTTATCGTTAGGAGTCAACACTATAATTTATTTTACCGGGAAAGATTATAGTACATCAAAATAGTATCATATGCAACAATTATCCGGTAAGCGCTTACACGGGTAAGAGTCGTCACCCTCACTTACCGAGTAAGACTCTTTATCTTTATTATTGTTCTCATCGCGTAAGATTTTTGACCCTTGTCATGTTCATCCGGTAAGGAAAGGTATCTGGTAAGCACTTTTCGGATAAACGTTTAGTAAATGGCACCTTAGTCAATTTATAAATACATCTAGTTAATTTTTTTATTCTCATAAATAAGAAATCTATAACTTTCAAAAATAAGATATCCATAACCCTTAAAATAAAACATTAATTGTTCACAATGTGTGTTCAAGTCTTGACATAATACCTTAAGGAATCTTTAGTGCTTTTTTTTTCATCTTTTGTTCTTAGTGTCATTGTGTCACATTGTGTTCACAAAATGATTACAATGTGTAAGAAAATAGGTGATCACTGTACGTAAAAAAAAATTGGTGGTCACAAGTCGAGTCTTGTTACGGGTTACAATATCATTTTCATCCAACTTGTTTCAATACACCCATTTGTGTTTATAACAGTTTTGTTGGATGGACGAGGGATAAGATATCAGACTTTGTTTCTATCAAACTCCGCGAGTTCTTCTTGCATAGCGCTGACCCAACTTGAGTCACTAATAGCCTCACTGATTTTCTTGGGTTCAACTAGAGAGAGAAAGTTGACAAATAAACAGATATTACCTGGACCATGTCGAGTCTGAATACATGTATTTGGATCACCAAGAATTTGATCGATGGGATGATTCTTCGTCCATTGTTGAGCTGGTACATGACTTGAGTTATCAGCTTCTGAGATAGGTGGCTCATATATAGAGGATGAGGCTTCAGCAAGAGATTCTTCAACATTCATTTGAATTGCTAAACGAGCCTCAGGTAAGGAATCGTTTACTGAGAGAGGTTCAATGACTGAAGGATCAATATTTGAAGTAGAAAGTGGCAAATGACTAATGGGAATGGCAGAGATCCCTAAAGAGGATTCAGCTCCGTTATTTGTCATGTCGGGGATAATATCTGGATCATCATCAGCTTCTTGTTGATCAACGTTTGATTGATTGTTGAATGAAGCTTCAGGTTCTCTAATGTGGGATATCATCCATCTGTCTAACTCTTCTTCATCGTCAAAGATGAGTTTAGAGTTAGCTTATCGAGATTCATCAAAAGTGACATGAATAGTATCTTCTATGGTTTATCTTCTTTTGTTGAAATATTCTGAAGACTTTGGATACTAAAGAATATTCAAGAAAGATTCATTCATCAGCTTTAGGGTCGAACTTTCCAAGATTATCTCTGTTGTTTAAGATATAGCAGGTACAACCAAAGATATATAGAAAGCTAAGAGTGGATTTCTACCATAAAAAAGTTCATAGATTGTCTTCTTGAATCTCTTAACAATCAGCGATCGGTTTTGAGTAAAACAAACAATGTTGACAACTTTAGCCCAAAATTGAGTAGGGAGACGAGATTTGCTGAGCATTGTTCGAGCGGATTCAATTATCATTCAATTTCTTCTTTCAACGACTCTGTTTTATTGTGGAGTTCTCACAGCTGAGAAATTGTCAGAAATTCACTTGTTCTCAAAGAAGTTTTCAATAGTACTATTTTTAAATTCAGTACCATGATCACTTCTTATTGAACACACAGTGAGGTTGTTCAGTGCTTCTTAGAGCATTTTCAGCAAATTCTTTAAAATGGAAAAAATGAATATTTTAGGCATATTTTGCTCCAACAGACATAAGAGAAAAAGAGTGATATTCTCCAAATTTAGAGAATTCCTCAAAAATGATTACAATGAGAGAGAAACATTTTTTATTATATTAACACCAATAAGAATCCTTATTGTTAAATGTTTATGAGAGATAAATAATATTGGTACAAATTATTTTGCTTATATAATTAATGTTTTAATTTCCAAAAATAATCTGTTGGAGATAAATATAAATACTTTTGGAGATTCTGAGTTTTAGTTCTCCATTTTGGAAAATTTGTTGGAGATACTCTTATGATATATGATAAGCACATAAAATTAGGATATAATCCCTCCGTCTCAAAATAAGTCTCTACATTTCTATTTATGTTTGTTCCAAAATAAGTGTCCACTTTCAAAAGCAAATTACCAAATTCTCAAAATTCACCCTTAATTAATGCACAATTATACAAGAGTTGTGAAGAGAAAAAAAATTAAATAAGGGTAAAGATGTCATTTGGTTCACAAAAACTGTAATAATAATGCATGTCTAAAATTGTGTGTCATTTCAATTGTGGACACTTATTTTGAGACAGAGAGAATATTGTTCAATATTTCTAGAAACATCTAACAGTTTAATTGTTTTTGTTATGATGTCCTATAAACACAACCTGATAAAATTTGTTCGCACATGAAGTTATGCACTTTTGATGGTGCTCGTGATAAATGAATCCAATCAAATTCTATATATCTATCTGTATTAGCAAAATTTAAAACAAGATAATTTAAAATTCAATATTTAAAATCAAAATATGTTATATTACTAATTAAACTTTAATAAATAAAGAAGTCGGTAAGGTACAATATTATCGTGATATACGACTTTTAATATCACGTACCAAGTTTAGATAGTAAGGTACTATCAACTAATTGAATTGATACTAACTAAATTAATACCAATTGAACTGATATGATTAACATTTATCTTTGATATAAAATTAACACCCCACCTTACCCTTGAAATTTTCCAAAAGTTTCTCCTTTTACAAACACCTCACAGACTCGGGTGCTGTTTGGTAAGAGCTTAATGGGTTGTATAATGGATATGGCTTATTCACACAACCATATCTAACTGTTCAGACTGGGCTTATTCGATCAGCTGATGGGTGATTCACTCAACTTGAAAAACCCTTCTCCTATAGACTCATCCATTAAATTGCATTAATTTTCCCCAACTACCCATCTCCCCAACTACTCACATTAAACTCCTATACATGGCTCCTTCCCCATCGACGCTCCTCCCATCTACACGCCTCCTCCACATCTAGCTTCTAGCCCTCCGTTGTCACCGGCATTCGACTGGTTCCAGCCCTCGCCGGGTGTTGATCTTCCAACCTTATTGTCAAAGAAACCCACACCTGAAGAAATATCCCTCAACAGGTCTGGTATAGTGGCAACTATAGAAGTTTGATATTGGGGACTTAGCACAAAGGCTTGGAAATCATCGACAAATCATTTTTCTTTCTTTCTTCTGTGCTTCCTCATCCATTTTGGGTTTTAAGTTAATGAGGTATGTATGAATCAACAAATGTGTTTTGTATTGATTATTGGTGCTTTTTATAAATTCTTATGTTTATGCATTGTTTTTCTTTTGTTATTGTCTATGTTGATAGGAAGAAGAAATCTGATTGGGAACTTGGGATAACGAACAAGAAATTAATTTTTTTTGTTAATGAAAAATCTAAAAAATGGAAGAGATAAAATGATCGTTTATATTATTCAGACAGTTTATTCAACACTACAACCGAACAACAATTTATCTGTTATTGTTATCATGCAGACAACTTTATCCATACAAGTTTTAGTAGAAACCGAACTGAACAAACCCTGACATTGGTTGCGTGTGTTTTTCATAAATTAAATGAGTAAAGATCTAAAGGAAAAAAGGGATATAGAGTAAGTAAACCACAAATTTGGTCAATGTGGTTTGTCAAAAATAAAACTTTATATTCCTATAGTTTTGAAATTAAAGATGATTATCATGGTTTATGTCTGGATTTGATTCATTCCTCTAAAGGTCGTTAAATTTATTTTGTTAAATGAGGGACACTTTGGTTCTTCTATTAATTTTTTGTCTGTTATCGAATCAAAAACCACAGAGACTAAAATTATAAAATCGATTTTGATTTTGGGTAAAAGACAAAGATGAGGGTACGTTTGGTTTGCAGGAATGTTTCTGAGGGATTTGGATTCTCAGGAGGGATTTGGATTCCATGGGATTTGGATTGGATTGGATTTAAAATCCATTCATGTGTTTGGTTTGCAGGATTTGGATTGGATTTGAAATCCATTCCTCTATTTGGTTTGTAGGATTTGGATTTAGATTTTTTTTTTGTAATTATTTAAATCACCAAATCTCTTTCATTTTCTTAAATCTATCTATTTAACCAACAAACCTAAAAATTTAACAATCAAACTTTTTCATCCAAAATGCATATTTAATCAACAAACATTTTCATCCAAAATACATATTTAATCAACAAAACATTTTCATCCAAAATACATATTTAACCACCAAACTCGGTAATCCAAAATACATATTTAACCACCAAACTCGGTAATCCAAAATACAAATTTAACTACCAACTTGTTCTTTCAAAACCACACATTTACCCACCAAATTCCAAAACGTGTTCACCTATTTGCTTCATTTAAAACCCAATCGACATAAGCTTCCCTATCCGCTTCTTGCAAATCCCAAAACGTGTTCACCTTTTCAGGATCGTCTCTTATCAATGAATTTGCTTTAAACTTCACCCGTTGGGCCAACGTCTGCATTTTTGATATCTCAGAAGTGATCATCGAACGTTTCTTATCAAGTTCGTCTTCTCGTTCTACACCCCTGTTAAGTTTGTTCACCATTTTCTCCAAAGTTTCCCCAAGTTTACTAACCGCATTACTAAATCCATCAGCCATGGGATCTACTCGACGTTTTCTCTTCTTACGACGCACAGTTGAAGTTTCTTCAGATTGCATATTTGCATTCCCACCTTGAACATTGCTAGTTGCCATTACGTCATCGGACTCGTCATTCATGTGTTGTGTTTGATCTTCTATACGCATCTCCTGTTCCGCCTCAACAAAATCTCTTGCTCTATTTCCTGTGGCACGATCTTTTCCGAATATAATACAAAGATCCTCATAAAAAGGATACGGTTTGTTCTTCCATTTTCCCGCCCTTTTATGGACCTATTTCATAATAGAATAACATAAATATACATATAACTATGATTATATATTATGCAAATATAAATAGCAAGTTCTTTTTAGCATGTACCTGAAGATACGCCTCCCAAACTTGGTCTTCCGCAACGACACAATGCTTCACACTATCGTATCCGAAGCCACTAATATATGAACCATTTATCATGTCATGCACAACAGTCTAATCTTTCTTCATTATTTTTAACTTTGATTCAATGTGTGGTTTCTCTAAAATCCCGGAGCCCGGCAATGATTCTTTTAACGATTGTTCAAGAAATGTTAAATAACCCGATTTAAAGCCATTATCGGCTTTAAATGCTCCCGTATTCACCATAGTAAGTAAAGCTTCAACGAGTTTTGTTTCTTCAATATTCGTCCAAACTCGATAATTTCTATTTTGACTCGTCATACCTACAAACATAAATGAATCAAAAGTATAACGACATTTAATTATCAATGTCCAAACTCCATAATTTCTATTACAAACAAACATTAGATTTAACAAACATGACAAGTATGAGTCCTACAAACATAAATGAATCATACAAATTAATTGGTAGCATTCCAAGAAGCAAACATAGATTGTGCTAAATTGTCCCTAAATGTCGTCCAATCATTTGAAGTACCAACAACATTTATATTATCTCCGTCTTCGACTCCATGGTCTCCGGTTCCCTCATCCACTTCACCGTCATTGTCAAGTAGATTTACTGGCATTTCTTGCATTATAAAATGGTGGAGGAGACAACATGCCATGATGATCCTAACTTTTTGTTCAATAGGATAATACGAGTTATCTCGTAAGATTGTCCACCTCGCCTTCAACATACCGAAACATCGTTTAATAACATTCCTCGCCGATGAATGCTTCATATTGAAAAATTCTTTGGCAGTGGTTGGTTGGTGTCCATCACGCCAATCATTTTAATGATATCTTTGACCCCTATAAGGAGCTAAGAAACCCTCTCCATTTGTGTATCCAGCATCAACCAAGTAATAACCTAGTAATAGATAAGTTAATAAACCATCAAAACTTAACTTGTTAATATATAGTAAACTATCAAAAACTATACCCGGTCTTGGAACTTTTAATTCATGAGGCCTAAGAAGGGCATCTCGAAGCACTCGACCATCAGCAGCCGACCCCTCCCATCCCGGTAAGACATATATAAATTGCATATCTTGTGAGCACACCCCTAGCACATTTGTCGCAATTTCATTTTTTCTTGTTCTATATCTAGGTTTGTCTTCTTCTGGAACTATACATTTTATGTAGGTTCCCTCCAAATTCATTCCATTCCTGCAAATCAAACGCACCCTAAATGTTCATCATTTAACAGACGACGGAGAAAACGAGCAAACCTGGACGTTTTTATAAATCACAATGGTCATCTTGTAACTATCAAAACTCGAGGGCAAAAGGTGTTATTTTTTACAACCAATAGGGACCAAATTGTTGTGGTTTAATCAAAAATATATATTCTGGAATCAGATTAATAGATACTGCCATAGAAGGATCACGAAGCTTCTTCATGTTTGGTAGCCATGATCGATCTGAACGAGCCATCTTGAAAAAGGAAAGTAAAAGTGTAAAACTCTCAAATTGACGTGAGCGATGGGTGTCGCCGGATCTAGCTGTTCTAATAGCCTGTTTGAGCCCAAAAGCAATTAGGCTTTCGAGAACAAGAACGAACTAAGAGTAGACATGGAAAACGATGAGGTTTTCAGCGGTGGAAGACGGCACGAGGCAGGCGGTGTCGGAGGACTCAACAAGGGTGTACGTTGGTCGGTGGGATTGACGGCAAGCCATAGGAAGAAGCCGAGGGTAAAGAGGGAATTAACATTAACGATGCCGTCCAGCGCCATAAGATGGATGGTGGTGCTCTTTAGTTTATGGCGGCCGGTGGCCGACGCAGTGGCGGTGGTCATCCGGTTGATAGCAGCTGCGGATTTTAAAAAAAATTAGTTGGAATTGGAGGGGGTGATGGAGACTTAAAAAACGACGCCGTTGCCGGGGATCGAACCCGGGTCACCCGCGTGACAGGCGGGAATACTTACCACTATACTACAACGACTGATGTGCATGATTTTTTATTTTTCTAATTTTTAATTTTAAACAAATATAAAATAATATTTATTACTTGACCCGACGGGATGTCTATAGGTGAGGCTGTAAACGATCCAAACGAACACGAACATAGGCGTGTTCATATTCGTTCGTTTAACTTAATCGAACAAACGAACGAACACGAATGGTAAACGAACGAAAATCTTTGTGTTCGTGTTCGTTCGTTTAGAAATAAGGTGTGTTTGTGTTCGTGTTTGTGTTCGTTCATTAACATGTTAAACGAACAAAAACGAACAGGCTAAACGAACATAAATAAATATTATTTGAATTCAAGGTAAATAAATAAAAGATTATATATTAAAATTTAAAATATAAACGAACATAAACGAACGAAGACTCTTGTTCATGTTCGTTCGTTTAACTAAACAAACAAAAAAATTGTTCATGTTCGTTCATTTATTAAATAAACGAACCTCACGTCGAATGGTTCACGAACGATTTGCTAAACGTTCGGTTCGTTTGCAGCCCTATCGATATGATAGGAGGACATGGGTATTTATGTCTATAAAAGTATTTCTATAAGATATTAAATAATAATAAATAAGTCATAATTTAATTTTAATATTTTAAGTTTGTGCTCGATTAAAAGGTGATTTTTGATTCTCATTGATCCTTGTCTTCTTTCCTATTTTTCGATGAAGAATTGGTGGTATTATGACCGGGGTGCAAAACATGTTGGCAAGATGAAGATCTTTAGGATTCAGACCTAATCGGTCTTCCAACCTCCCAATCCTTGAAATGGTTCTTCCATAACCATTCGTTTTGTATGGACTAGTAATCAGTAAAAAGAACAGGGATTACATGCATCAGTTGGATTATTATCCGTAACTGATTTCTTTTTCAATTCGTTAATATACTAACAAGTTCCAAATGGCCATATCCAGTGTGCAAACAAGTCTTTGATTGCAACGACACATACTATTTAATGGTGTCATCTCACTACTACTTTTTCCTCGTATTATAGCGACATCTGACTTATGTATATTATTATATACCAAAGTTCTTGTTTTAGATTGAAAATTTATATAATTTGTTGTTACGTCTTTTCTGATAGTTGTTATTGGTCCCTTAATGTAACTGATATTTGTAAAAGATTGAAGGTTTGCATAAGCTAACTTAAACTCAGGATCGTCGTACAACAGGAGTCAAGGGGGTCGTGCACCCTTGACGGCCACTGCCTCTTCCGGTAGAGGCCAACACTGACGGGTGAGATTAGGGATGCCTTCGGTGGCACTATCAGAGCGAGTCTTCAGTGACACTAGTTAAGTGATTCCTTTAGTTGCACTCGTCATTGAGTCACTGATGTCAATCTGTGAGTGTTTCTCACTGATGCTAAACGATGAATGTACTCATTGACACTAACGTATGAAAATTTGAATTTATACCAAGTAAATTTTATGAAAACCAAGCCCGTAATAGGGTCGAAATATTACGTATGTACTCAATTAATGAATTATGTTTCATTTTAACGTACATATGTATTTCTTAATAAAATACGTTTATCACCGCAAATTCTTTTTTATTTTGTCTACTTATATTCTCATAAAGATAAAATCCAAATTTAATGAGAATCCATCTTTCATATTTATATTTCTCTCTCATTTTTATTTTTAGTTAACATGTATTCGACACATTAATTGTTGAAACTTTTTTTCCTTCCATTTTTTAGTTATTTTTAAATATTTTTAACACATTAAATTGTTAAAAAATTTCATTTTTAAATTTAAATAATCAATATATAT